AGGTTGAGAAACACTGGCATAGAATGAGCAACAGCCTAAATCATTCCCTACTTAAAAACCTTTATTTCTGTTGAAATCCAGAAGCTAAAATCATAATCGTCAATAGATTTGCTTTTGAACTTAGTAAGAAGTCTTCTCAGAACCTGGACAAGCCGTCATTCAATTCTTTACATTTTGCTAAAGCAGACAGATTCCTGGTTTGACAAAGGAGACCCCTCGCCAGACCACAAAGAAGACACTGCTCAGGCATTCGATAGAGTTAATGCTGTGATTTGGACAGCAGTGATAAGCCTTTGAAAGTCACACAGATGAGGTCTCACCTTCTAATCTAGGCCATCTTTCCTTTCAACGTCAGGAAACCTTTGTGTTTAAACCTGTGCATGCAAAGGAATCCAAGGTGGGGTGTCTTGTGTGAGCTCTCCTTGTGTGACGGACATCACTGCTGAAAGTAAGGATGCTTTTGATGATCAAAGATCACCAGCTCAACAAGTCCCCGGTGACTTGTAATCCTTTGTCTAATGTCTGAATGGAGTTTAAAATTGATTGATCTGCATGGGACCTTTCTGTCATTACACTTGCAGACTTAAGACTAGGGAGCTGACTTATTTATAAGACAGTGCATTGTAGTATTCTACTGGGTCTTTCGGATTTATTGGAACAGCACCCTTCGGAGCCCGGTGTGACATTGAGGCATATGTAGAAAAGAGGTGGGGTTTGCATCACAACAGTTCAATGCTGTTTGCAGCATTCTCCTCTCGGTGCTGGCATACAGTATATGCAAAGCATATGTGTGTATGGGATACACACACGAGTCCTCTGTAACAAAAGTTACCAATCAATAACATTAGGATGGGATGGGATGGGATGGGATGAAATGGAAAGGAATAGAATAGAATAGAATAGAATAGAATAGAATAGAATAGAATAGAATAGAATAGAATAGAATAGAGCTTGAAGGGACCTTGGAGGTTTTCTAGTCCAGCCCTCTGCTCAAGCAGGTGAACCTATACCATTTCAGACAAGTGACTGTCTAGTCTCATCTTAAAAAGCTCCAGTGATGGAACACCCACAATTTCCAGAGGCAAGCTGTTCCACTGGTTAATTGTCCTCACCGTTAGGAAGTTTCTCCTTAATTCCAGGTTGTTTCTCTCTCTGGTCAGTTTCCAACCATTGTTTCTTGTCCTTCTATCTATCTGGTGCTTTGGAGAATAGTTTGATGCCCTCTTCTTTGTGGCAGCCCCTCAAATGCTGGAATACTGCTATCATGTTGCCCCTGTTTCTTCTTTTCTTTAGAGTTAAAGTTAGGTTAGGTTAGCCAAACCCAAGTCCTGCAGCCATTCTTCATGTTTTAGGCTCCAGGCCTTTGATCATCTTAGTTGCTCTTCTCTGAATTAAGAGAATCAAATATTTTAGGCCATAACATTTTTTAATTCTGAGCAGAATATGAATCAGCAGCTACAGTCTATCACTGAAGTCCGAGAACTATGACATTATAGAGGTAGAATTGGAGTATCCTCACCTACAATTACCATAATTCCCAGCCAGCATGCTCATTGGTATGTGTGTTGTAATTACCTATACTGGGAGGCATTGGGTTAGAGAAGATGTTCAGAGCCTTCTTCCTAAACATTTTATCAACCTCTTGATCTTCTCCAACTTAATGCCTCCAGGTCTGCTCAACTACAATGCAACTACCAATAAGTAAGCAATTATGGGAATTAGGGAAGAATACTTTAAATATCTTGTAGATTTTCCCCCTATACTACATTCTTACATTATATTGTTCTATATTGGTGACAGAATAAAAAAAAACATGTTATTTTTCTTTCTTACTAATTTTCCAAGTAGAAAAGGAAGGATTTTAACTGGAATTAAAAACTAGTTAAGGATTGTGCAACTGGTTAAGTATGTGTGCAAAGATTTGAATTGCCCTATATATTCTTTATATAAAGAAGAGATTAACAAATGCATCTCCCATTAACACTGCTGTAACAAGTGGGGTTCACATTTGCACAGCGTATGAAACCGTGGCATTTCAAAGTGCCAAAAGAGAATCATATCTAACCTCAAAGCAGCACCTGACAGGCTGTTACTTCTTCGAAATTGGAGAATGGTTGAAATGGTGCTTTGTGATCTCAGTATAAATCAGAATATTCTATGCTTCGCTCTGCAGTGAAGATGTTGTACAGGAAAGACAGTGCCAGATGGTTCAAACTGTGAGCAGTACAGTTGATAAGATAGTAATTATCATTAAATTATGATTTAGTTCGCTTAAGCTATTTCTCCTTGTTTTATAGCCTCTCTCTCCATGAACACTTCAACTAGAATATTCCATTTTGGCCTCATCGTGGTACCCTCTCATTTTTTTTTTTCATACAAATGTCCATTTTTTTTTCCAATATGATCACCAAGCCAAGTTCCTGCTTCTTTTTTCCTTTTGTTTGTCCAGAGCAGAAATCTCTTACAGAATGAAAATAGACGTGTCCAACATTAAAAAGAAAAAAGAAAAAAAAAAACCCATCTCTTGTTGAGTACAATGGAAAAGTGGGGAAGACACATCAAATCTCAAGTATTTCATTATCAGTTATCTACTTCCTGTCCTCAAAATTCTCTTCTGTGTAGGAAATCCTAAATATGTTTCACCTTAAGTTGTTCTCCTTGACTCTATGATAGTATCATAGAATACTTGGGCCAGAAGGGACCTGGAAGGTCTCCTAATCCAACTCTTTGCCTAAAGCAGAAGCCCTTATTATACCATTACCAATGTCCAATGTTTTGGATCTTTTTGTTGTGATTCCGTGCTGGCCTGTGCTCCCAACAGCTGAGTCTGAGGAATCTGAGGAGGAGGTGGAGGAGGCATTTGAAGGGCCATCAGGGGCAGAGGGAGGCTGTGATGAATTACAGGACTCACATGCAGAGCCGGGGCCCTCCAGTCGTGTTCCTGATAAAGCTCAGCTGTGTGAGGAGAATGAGTCAGACTCGGAGGACTCACACCTGATGGACATGCTAATTGATGCACGCACACGTCGTCAATTAGCGAGAGTAAATCAGCAGCAGTCAATACGGCAACTCCAGAGTAAAAGGAGAAGGCACTGAGAGGCAACGCCTTGGGACTGCTGTATAAAAAGAGGAGGTGTGGGCGGGGCTGGTTGCTGAAGGCAACCGTTTGCAAAGTACTTCTTTGGATCCTGGTCTGTTTGTCTTGCTTGTGACTACTCTTCTGTTTGCATCGTGTTTCCCTGTGGACTATTTCCTTCATTTGGATTGAGTTTTGCTGTTTGTGTTTTGGCCTATTTGGCAGGTTTGTCACCCATATTAAAAAGGGTTTGTGTTGTTTTAAAGTCTCCAGCCTATTTTATCAACAGAGGTTTGGTCCTCGTGCCTTTAACAAGGACGGCTATAGGCTGGGATAGAACACTTTTTAAAGCAAGCTTCTGTCCATTGTTTCTTGTCCTTTCCTCACGTACTCTGGAGAATAAATCGGTCCTTTCTTCTCTGTGACAGCCCAAGTACCGTAAGCCAGCTATCATATCACCCCTAATCCTTCTCTTGTTAGGCTTGGCATACTGTACCTAGTTCCCTTAACTGTTCCTCATACAGTTTAGCCTCCAGATCCCTTATCATTGTTGCTCTCTGCATGCTTTCTAGGGTCTCAGCATCTTTTTTGTATTCTGGCAACTAGCATTGGACACACTGTTCCAAGTGTGGCCTCACTAGTGCAGTACAGAGTGATACTATCACTGCTTGTGATCTTGATGTTATCCCTTCGTTGATGTAGCCTAGGACTGCAGTGGCATTTTTGGCAACTGCAGCACCCTGCTTCTAAAAACAAATCAAGTCAGTCAGAATAGTGCTGGAAGGGACCTTGGAGGTCTTGTAACCCAACCCCCTGCTCAAGCAGGCAATCCTATACCATTTCAGACAAGTGACTGTCCAGTGTCTTCTTAAAAACCTCCAGGGATGAAGCTCCCACAACCTCTGAAGGCAAGCCGTTCCACTGGTTAATTGTTCTCACTATTAGGAAGTTCCTCCTTAATTCCAGGTTGCTTCTCTCCTTGGTTAGTTTCCATCCATTTTCTTGTCTTGCCTTTTGGTGCTTTGGATAATACGTTGATCCCCTCTTCTTTGTGGCAGCCCCTCAAATACTGGAATATTGTTATCATGTCACCCCTAGTCCTTCTTCTCTCTAGACTAGCCGTACCCTATTCCTGCAATCCTTCTTTTTGACATTTCATTGATGCTCCATATAGAGCAGGGGTGTCGAACTCAATTTCATTGAGGGCTGCATCAGCATTGTGGTTGCCCTTGGGGGGCCAGGTGGGTGTGGCCAGGGTGGGGGTAGCCTACTGGGTGGGTGTGGATGGAGTGGGTGTGGCCTACTGGGTGGGCATGGCCAGCTCTACATCGTTTGCGTCAAGGGTGCCTGTGGGGGCCTGGGCAGGAGTGGGACAGATCTGAGCATCTCTGGCAGAAGGTGGTGGGACCGGGGCAAACGCCAAGGCATGGTCCATTTCTTCATTCCTCAGAAAGGGTGACACCTCCCCAGCATGCACCCAGGGGGTGGGGCCGACATGGCAGGGGCTGGTTCCTTGCTGTTTCTAGATGGCCTTGTAGAGCTAAGACTGAATGCATTTCAGCATAGATGGCCACCACAAAATTGTACATTGGCTCCCAGCCGGCCTGGGCCAGGGCCAAGGCAATAGGGGCCGTTCCCTCACTGTTTCCAGGATGGCTTCAAGGGCCACATGAAACTACTTTGCAGGCCGTGTCTGGCCCCCGGACCTTGTGTTTGACATTTCTGATATAGAGGAAACATTAAATATATGCATATAAAAAGTTGCTTCTAATGCAAGTACGGTATAAAAAAACATGAAAGTGTACAACAACTTTGGATCCAAGTTAGACGTTATTCAAAATATCGCATGAATTTAAGTGTGGCTCATTATACCTTTGTAGGAATTACTCTGTTTTAATGTCTATTTTTTTAATTTTTATTACAGACCCAACGGTTCTGTTCTTTCACAAGCCCACAGTACTTGAAATGGAAGACAGCGATGCTCTTATTGTGTGCCCAGTGACAGATCCAGATGTTTCGAATTTCACTTTGAAAAGATGCCATTACAAATCTCTGCCTGAGCATATGACATTAGTTCCTGATCCTCAGAAGGGAATCACCATAAAAAATGTACAGAGATCATTTCTAGGTTGTTACCGGTGTGTGGCACAACAAGATGGAGTTGAAAAAAGATCGAAAGATATAACACTTGTGGTGAGACCAGGTGAAAATACATTCAATTGAACTCAAATATCTGTTATGGTCGTACCATTGTGTATAATCCCTTTTCTTGTACAGCTTTGCAAACAGTGTGTATCTAGTTTAGAGGCAGTCCTGACTGATGGTTGGTTTAGTGATCAGTCGAGTTTACAACGAGGTTATGGCCATTTTTCACACAACCGTTGCAGCGTCCCCATGGTCACATGATCAGAATTCAGATGCTTGGCCACTGACTCATATTTATGACGGTTGCTGTGACCAGGAGTCATGTGATCCCCTTTTGCAACAAGCAAAGTCAATGGGGAAGCCAGATTCACTTAACAAGCGTGTTGCTAATTAACAGCTGTGGTGATTAACAACTGTGGCAAGAAAGGTCATAAATCAGGGGAAAAAAATCAGTTAACAAATGTCTACATTATGGTCATAAGTGAAGGACTGCCTGTATTTAAAGGTAAGATAATTAGAAAAACAGTTCACACTAATAGATATTCTCCGATCCCATCAGTGGATTCAAGACTGTGAATAGTAGCCATATAAAATGGTATTAGAAAGTTTTCTAATTCACCATCAGTCTTTTTGAAAGATTAAATACAGGGCAGGCTTATTATCTGTGTTTGTTAGGTAGTGCCTATAAATGTTTTTACATTTTCATTTGGATTAAAGTACAACTGTGATATGTCAACGATATTTAAAATATCTTTAGCAAATCTGATACTTTATTGGAAGATTAAGAACTGTCGATTCCAACTCCCTTTTTGTGAAGGTTTTGCAAATAATGACAACAATGTGCATCTGGATTGTTTTTTAGTTCACAAATCCTTACCATCCATCACCTTATCCAAAACAAACCAACTTCTCAAAGAAGGTGAAGAATTTGAAGTTACATGTACAATCAGGGATATAGATAGTTCTTTGCAAGCTAATTGGATTTTTCAAGGCAATGCGGTGAGTTTATTATACCTAATAAGTACCAATGTACTTGAAAGAATAGTCTTTCTAAAAAATAACTTAAAAACATGTCTGAGATGTATATATCAGCTTTGATAAAGTAATATTCACGCAAGGCATCACTGTTGGAATAATAGCACTGACAAATCTTGAATAGAAGTGAAAGTAGAACAGCTGCATGAAGATAAGATAATGGGAAGTAAGAAATTGAAAAAAGTTTTGGTACAATGAGGAAATGAAAGAGGATATGGATGAGAAAGGGATACATATAAGAAAACAATTGCTGCAATAAACGATGAGCAGAGAATATGTGTATACAGATCGCAAAGGTAGTCACAAAGAATGTAATTCAAGAAAGCAAGGAATAGTCAAAATTAAGAAACAGAGAAAATGCAAAAAAAAAAAAAAAAGCTTTGACGGAAATTAATAACTGTTTTGGAAGCAGGAATCCATAGCAAAATAAGTGGAATGAAGTATATAAGTTTATTTTTAAATACTCAAAATGATTTTGAATGAAACAAATGAATTGCTGGAAAAAATAGGTTTGAAATTTTTATGTAACGCCACTGATATTGAATGTCAAAGAATAGAACTGTAGCAAACACTACAAATGTTTAGCATTCAAGAAAAAAAGAACAATAAAAATCCTGTCCTAAATACTGCGAGAATGTTGAAAAATAGGAAGAGTGCAGGTAGACTTGATACAACTGGAGAAGTGTTAAAACTGGGTGTAGTTTATGTGGAGTTGTTGTCAACATGTTTAATGCATGTGAAGATTGTAGCTGTGCCTGGTGATTGGAAGAATATTTTTGTTTCCCTGTGTTAAAGGATAACAAGAATGGATTCAAAAAACGGAGGCAGCACTTTTTTATTTTTATTTATTATTATTATTATCATCAGTGCATTTTTGTAAAAAAAAAAAAAAGTGGTGGAACTCACACACGTCATATAACCCGCCTTGCCTACTCTACAAGGTTCCATCCAAAAAGAGTGCCGGAACTCCGTTCTGGGAGCTCTATGACAAAAAAGCCCTGATTATTATTATTATTAAAGTTCTACTCCAAGAGTGGTGTGGTGGCTTAGAGATGGAGCTCTCACCTCACAATCAGGAGGCTGTGAGTTCGATCCTAGGTAGCGGCAGATATTTCTCTCTCTGGGCGCAAAGAGAAAATATCTGTTGTGAGGTCCACGTAGGCATCAGGAAGGGCATCTGGCCAGCAAACGCTCAGCTCCATCCCATTGCCCCAACTCATCCCTATGCAGCGGATTATGAGATCATAAAAAGAGAAAAAAAATTGGGCTGGGCTGCCCATACCACCCATGTCACTGGACTGGGCCGCCTAAGAAAAAATAACTTTCCTAAGTGTTCCAGGGACAGCATTTGAGAGAATTGTGATTGAAAGAGTACAAGAAATGAAAATGAGCACCATTTGAGCATAATATAGAATGCTATTCTCAAATTGTGTGGTGTAGAAAACAAAATTTTGCTCATTGGGAAGTGCATGGATATGAGTAAGGAAGATTACTGTGCATGTGTTACAGAAAGTATACAATATAGTTAGCAAAGTGTATGGAATGCTTTGTATGAAGAAGGAGTTGAAAGTTGAATGCTGAATGGGATAAGAGACCACATATAGTGGAAATAAACCATGATTAAAAATAAATGGCCTGCTTATGTGAATGGTTCAACAGGGAGTGTGGTGTAAGACTAGGGCCGTGGTGGCGAACCTATGACACGCATTCCACAGGTGGCACGCAAAGCCCTCTCTGTGGGCACGCACGCCATCGCCCCAGTCTTGGGCCTTCAGCTCAGTTTTATAAAACCTTTTCGTTTAGGCCTCCCCCGCCATGTACAAAAAAAAAAGGTTCAATCAATCAATCAATCAATTTCAACTTCTCACGGGAAAAAAAAGATCTTCAGAGTTGGAATTGATTGATTGAATTTTTTAGTCCCACCCAATCTGCCGTTACCACCGCAGCCATGGCCACCCAATGGGCCACGCCCACCCGGCACCCAACGATACATAAGTGGGTTTTGGGTTGCAGTTTGGGCACTCGGCCTCTAAAAGGTTCGCCATCACTGGACTAGGGTATTCCATGTCCCTTACACCGTGTTCTGTATTTATGGATAAGGAATGTTTGAAGTACATTAGAGGTGACTTGGTGGGGGTGTGAATGTACATGAATGTCACGTTGTAAACCCAAGTGATAAATGACAGGAAAGTAGAGCAAAGAGATCAATTCTTGCAAGGATGTGGTCAGATTAAAGGAAAATAATAGGGGGCATTCTGTCCAGTTGTTGTATGGAATTGAGAGTTGAGAAACAGAAGAAACGAACACAAGTTGTTCTGGATTGTTGGATATGTGAAACAACCCTGTGGTAGGCAACTGAAACATAGTGTGTCTATATACGCATGTTTCTAGTTCTTAATGAAAAGTTTCGGTGATCTAAGCCAGTGTTTCCCAAACTTGACAGTTTTAAGGCATGAGGACTTCAACTCCCAGAATTCCACAGCCAGCAACGCTGGCTGTGGAATTCTGGGAGTTGAAGTCCACATGCCTTAAAATTGTCAAGTTTGGGAAACACTGATCTAAGCCAAGCTCAAATCAAACATGGGGCAAGTTGGAGTTGGCTCAAAAGGGTATAAGGCTGCTTGGCCTTTTGGCTAAGATTAATTATATATAAGGAGTTCAGTTCCGATATGGCACCCGTAAAAGGCACACTTCTAAATAAATACTTTTAATAGCAGCCATTCTTGCTATTAAAATTAACCACAATTTTCTGTGGCCTCCACCCTCTGGAACGGAATATTCTCCCGTCAGAGGTTGCGATGTGCCCCCCCCCCCCGTATTCCTGGCTTCCGGAAAAATCTAAAAACTTGGTTCTCCTGCTTGCCTTGGGGCCCTGAGATGGTCCTGGTACATTGGTGGTCACTGACAGGGTCACACCCAGGCTGCCCATCGACTTGGTTGTTAACCTTCAATTTTTTTCATTCTAATTTTAATAGTTTTTTAAAACACCTTTAAGCTTTTCATTATATTGTAAGTTGCCCAGAGTTGCCCTATATAGCTTAAAAATATGTAGATAGTTAAATTTCACTATATAGGAAAAGTTCCCCAAAGAGTCCAGCTAACCTTGCTAAGTACAGCCATTTCAGTCTTAATTGACAACTGTTAATGGCAGTGATTAAACTATATAATCAGCCGCTCATGTAAATAGGAAGACTGGTGCAGTGTGGCAATGGTGGAGATACAGTCTCAAGAAAGTAACAATTTGGATAATACATCCCAAGAGTGCTACCGGCCATTCTCTACTAATCCACTGGTGCTGGCATAATTCCTGTCTTTTAAGTGCTTATTTATTGACTGATCCTAATTCATCCATTCTGAAGTAAAGCAGACATATAACGTATGTCAGGGGTCTTCAAACCTGATCCTTTTATGACTTGTGGACTTCAACTCCCAGAATTCCTCAGCCAGCGTGCCTGGCTGAGGAATTCTGGGAGTTGAAGTCCATAAGTCATAAAAGGGCCCAGTTTGAAGACCCCTGACGTATGTGGTCCACACAGGGCCTACATCTTAAAGAGTTCTGAAACAGTCCCAATATCATTTTAAATATTACATTCGAAAACCAATTTTCAGCAGTTTAAAACTAAATTTGCTTTAACACATGTTAATAAAAAGCTATCATAATATTTGGGTAGAGTTGAAATTTGCGTTGTGTAAAAAAAAAAAGCATGTTCAGTACTGTGTTGGTAACACTCAGATTCCCTGTTAAACGCAGTTGGGAAGTCAGATGCTTAGTTTGTAAATAGATATTCCAACTCAATAGGATCTTTCCTTCCTTGAATAGAACATTCTTCTTTTGTTACCCCCACAGCAGGGGTCATTGGTCCATGCTAACTTCACAAACCAAACCAAAAAAAAATACCACAGTGGTTTGACAGCTGTGTTTTCTTGATCAGGAACCCCTCTGAGTCTGAAATTTCTTCAGTGTTACCTCAGGAACATTGTAGAAGCTACTGAACTTTCTCTGTTCTTCTCTCATACCACTTATTCCCAATTATAAGAAGCTCACATACCAGTTTTAAAACACAGACACACAGACAGACACACACACATACCCTCGGCTTATGAGGGCCGCCATGTTGCAAACTTAATTTGGAAAGCACTTCGCGTTAGGGAATGTTTTTAGGACACATTTCCTTCTGGGTTTATTACCTCAAGAGACCATCACATATACCAAAAATACAAAATATAGAGCAAAGCGAGCAGAGTAAGAACAATCCTAAGGAGGTTTCTTCATATTTCATATTTTTCTCCCCCCCCCCCCCAAAAAAAGACAGTTTTAAGACTATAGATGTCTTCTATGGAGAGGTTCCAGTGACAGGTTTGTCATGATGTCTTATTATTCAAGTTTTAAGTTATGAATATTAATATGGCGAAGTTATAATTACGTCTATTTTTAATTTATTTGAGAATGATGCTATGTACACTGTATCTTAGATGGTAATTTTTCCTCTCCCTTGCCGACAGAATCTTTCCAGCAAAAGCAAGAATGTGCGTGATTATGAATATGAACAAAAATTAACGCTGAGCATCCGTTCAGTGGGAGTTAATGATTCTGGAGCCTTCACATGCCAAGCAACCAATGCTTTTGGAACCTCTAATGTCACGCTAACCTTGAATGTAATAGGTAAATATTAACATTGCATACATATATGTGTGTGTGTACATATGTATATGTATATATGTGCATATATATACACATGTATATGTATATATGTATATATATATATATATATATATATATATATATATATACACATGTATATATGTATGTGTGTGTGTATGTTCTTAATTACGCTAGGGCACAGCTAAAAGGAGGGGTGGCCATAGGACAGGAGGCGTTAGAGAACCAACCCACAGCAACAGGCACTTGGACACGAACTAGGCGAACAAGGAGAGCAACCGTAAGGGAGGGATGATCCCTGAGTTTAAGAAAACACGGACTGATGCAGGACAGCTAGAAACAATACGGCCAATTGGGACGGGCAGACCGGTAACTCGCTCCATGAGCATAGCGTAAAAACAGCTGGCTTTATAAGCAAGCTCCCAAAACACCGGCATTTTACTCTGATGACGATGGCAGTTAGCCGACAAAAGCTAAGTATATTAAAGCAGTTTTGTTCGTATTTTATCCTGGTGTTCGATTATCTTCTTGAATATATATGTATGTGTGTATGTATTTATGTATATATGTATGTATGTATGTTGCTCATTTCATTAAAAACACGAATCCTGGGTAGAGTCATATTATAAAAACAAATAAACACGAACACCAGGAAAAATTTAAACTAAAAATGTTTAATCTAATGCCAAGCTTTCGTCGGCCAACTACCGACATCATCAAGGCTTAAAACAGGTCAATGGGAGTCTCCTTTATAGTGTTAGTCAGTTTTTGCGCATGGCTCCTAGACCTCCTACGCGGACCTTAGGAGCCTGCAGTGGGGAGATAGATAACAACATATGCACAAAGGGGGAGAGTGGAGGAAGGGAAGCAAGTAACGGAGCAGCAGCACCAAACAACATCAAGAAAGTAACCAATATACAGTTTAACCAATTAGGACTACCAAATGGACCGGTGACGAGGTCCAGGAGCCGTGTGCAAAAACTGACTAACACTATAAAGGAGACTCCCATTGACCTATTTTAAGCCCTGATGATGTCAGTAGTTGGCTGACGAGAGGGGTAAAGCAAAAGCTACACATTTTATATTGTTGGAATATATGTTGAAATGTAAATTTCAATATGTTTTTAACTCTAACCCTCCCACTTCCTGTTTTGCAATACAGATATAGTTCTTTGTAAAAACAAAGTCCATGTAAAAAAGAACATTTCCTTGAGTTTCTGCATGTATGTAGTCGTAGGGTAGTAATAGTCATATTTCCACAATGCCATAATTATAAAACTCTTGTGATGATGCCATATACACACACACACGCGCACACTTGGGAAATTGAAAATAATTTGATCATATTAGCCAGGATTATAATTTCCAGATAGTTCAGCTGCCATCGTCACAAACCTTTGCTGGGGATTGGTGGAAGCTCACATCTCCAAATTTCTAAATTCAGGTGATCTTACTTACTTTCTGATAGGATCAGTGCCAAATACCAGTATTTCATTGATAAATTGTACTAAAAGAGTTTTCAAGTTGAAAAATGGGATATAAATAATTCTAAACGAATAAATGTGTCAGTGCTAAGTATTAGCTGTGTGCTTCTACTTAAACAATTATGTGAGTTACATGTAACTATGTGCATCATAATTAAGAATGGCATTGCATAGTTTGCATGTATGTAAGAATGTCCTATTTAAATCATCAGGCTGATTCTTCAGTATTTGGAATGTGATGATTTGTGGATCATACAGTTGCAAAGGAAGCTTGGGTTAGTTTTAGTTTGTATTTTGAGAGTGGGAAATCCTGGCATAATGTAAATTTTTCAGATGAAGTATGTAATGTATCAATTGGGATTAAAGATGTAATTGCAGGCAAAGGATGCCTGTATTCTTTTACAATAATGCTTCTATAGTCAGTGAAGAAGCCATATTTGAGTGGTGTTAGAGTCATATTGGTGCCATATTGAAGTGAACTAGGCCCAGTCATCGCTGGGGAACTTCCAGGGGATTGGGAAAGAGCTGATGTGATCCCATCTTCAAAGAAGGGGAAAAAAAAAACAAGGATCCAAGAAACTACATACCAATCAGCCTGACATCAATTTCTAAGAAGATCCTGGAAAAGATAATCAAACAATGGATCTGCAAATACACTGAAACAAGCAAAGCTATTACTAGAAGCCAACACGGGTTTGTCAAAAACAGATCATGCCAGACAAACCTTACTGCATTCTTTGACAAAAGTGACTAAATTAGTAGACCAGCGAAATGTGGTGGACATAGTATACTTGGACTTCAGCAAGGCATTTGACAAAATAGACCACAGCCTACTTCTTGATAAGATAAAAAAATGTGGGCTAGACAGCATCACCACAAGGTGGATTCGTAACTGTCTGACCAACTGCATTAATGTATAGTCCTCAATAGAACTTTAATTGCCTGGAGGGAAGTAAGCAGTGAGATACCCCAAGGTTCTGTTTAAAGTCCAGTATCTTCAACATCTTCATAAATGATTTAGATGAAGGGATAGAAGGGGAACTCATCAAATTTGCAGACAACAGCAAGCTGAGGAGAATAGCTAGCACTTTGGAAGATAGGCTCAAGATTCAGAAGACCATGATAGACTTGAACACCGTATGATGACTTCCCCCGGACGCTTCCCTAGATACCTCTCCAGATGTCAGCTCAGAGGAGGATGTACCAGTTCCAGGCAAGTCAAGAGGAGAGTTGGTCAGTGGCTGTGAGTAGCCATGAGAATGATTTGGTTGAAGCAGAGTTGCAACTGGTTAGGAAGAGGAACTGCCTTCTGCACCTGATCCAAGAACATGTAGGGCAGAGAAAAGGCAAAGAACAGTGAAGGTCAGCTCAATTACTCGTGAGGAGATAGCCTTGCCCCTCTTGATGGGCTCCACCAGAAGCTGGCTATTTAGCACAGCAGACAGATGGAGACAATGTTGGGAGCAATGTGTTTGTTTCTTTGCTGTGTTTTCTTGCCTTGAACTTTGGATCGTGTCTCTTCAGCTGTGGACTTGCCTTTGTCTTGGAACTTGCCTTTGCCTGGTGGACCGGACCTACTTGTCAAGTTTCAAAGCCCAGTCTGATATTGCTTCTCAGTTTGCCAACAAACTCAGGGGGAGGGCAGAGGTTTGGAATGCAGATTTCAAAGATTAAGAAAGCAAACTGTGGGAACCAATGACAATGGAAACTAAGTTTCTCCTTAGTTCTAGGTTGCTTCTCTCTTTGGTTAGTTTCCATCCATTGCTTCTTGTCTTGCCTTCAGGTGCTTTGGAGAATAGCTTGACTCCCTCTTCTTTGTGGCAACCCCTGAGATATTGGAACACTGCTAACCTGTCCCCCCTCATCCTTCTCTTCATTAAACTAGACATACCCAATTCCAGAAACCGTTCCATGTAAGCTATAGCCTCCAGTCCCCTAATCATCTTTGTTGCTCTTCTCTGTACTCCTTCTAGGGTCTCAACATCTTTTTTACATCGTGGTGACCAAAACTGGATGCAGTATTCCAAGTGTGGCCTCACCAAGGCATTGTAAAGTGGTATTAACACTACACGTGATCTTGATTTTATCCCTCTGTTAATGCAGCGATTGATTGGGCAACATGACCTGATTCAGAGAGAGGAGAAATAAATTAATGCTTTTACTATAGGGGTTTGGGAGGAGTCCTGCCAGAGCTGGTTTTACTTTCATATGTGCCAAAACAGTGTACTTAATAAAGCTTTGCATTAAGAGCCTGGAGAGTCTTGAAGGTGTTTGCTTGGTTGGGTTCATCAGTCAGAACCTTGACACTGCCTTTGCCTTGAGGACCAGTGTTGCCTTCATTTGAATAGCCTGTGGAAATTGCTGTGATTGAACTGGTGCCAGCACAGGGAATTGCTGGGGAATACCCATTCAGGCTTGGAAGCCTTAATAAAGATTTCTTAGACCAGTGTTTCTCAACCTTGACAATTTTAAGGCATGTGGACTTCAACTCCCAGAATTCCACAGCCAGCAATGCTGGCTGTGGAATTCTGGGAGTTGAAGACCACATGCCTTAAAATTGTCAAGGTTGGAAAACATTGCCTTAGACCCATGATATGCGTATGTGTGTATGCATGAGCGGGATAGCACACATTGGGCCTTATCTCACACAATGCAATGCAGTGTTGAGAAAAGTAAGGTTTTATATTAGGCAAGAAAACTCTAATGCACAGCTATAGAATAGGTGGTACCTGGTTCAACAGCAGTAACTGAGAGGGATGAAGGAGTTCTAATGGACATCATTTAAGTATGAGCCAACAGTGTGCTGCAGATACCAAAAAAGCCAATGCAATCCTCAGCTGCATCTAACAGAGGGATAGTCTAAAGATCACGTGAAGTGTTGGTTTCAAGATCATGCTTGGAATACTCCATCCAGTTTTAATTAAAAAAGATGTTGAGATTCCAGAAAGAGTGCAGAGAACCACAACAAAGATGCTAAGGGCTCTAGAGGCTAAACCATATGACAAATAGTTGTGGGAACTAGGTATAGCTAGTCAACAAAGAGAAGGACTGTGGATTACATCAGGGGTCCCCAACCCCCAGTCTGTCGACCAGTACCAGTCTGTGGCATGCCAGCAACTGGTCCACACAAACAAGCAAAGCCCCATCCATGGGGTGCAGGCAGCACACAAAACCATGCACTCTCCGGTCCGCAGAAAAACCTTTCACCACAGAACTGGTCTCTGGTGCTCAAAAGATTGGAGACCTCTGGATTACATGATAGCAAGTTTTCCAGTGCTTGAGGGGTTGTTACAGAGAAGAAGGGTTTGATCTATTCTCCCAGGCACCTGAGGGCAGGACAAGAAGTAATGAATGGAAACTTACCAAGGAGAGATCCAGCCTAGAACTAAGGAGAAGTTTCCTGAAAGTGAAAACAATTGACAGTGGAACAGCTTGCCTCCAGAAGTTGTGGGTGCTCCATCTCTGGGGATTTTTAAGAAGAGATTGGGCAGCCATTTGTGTGGCATGGTATAGGGACTCCTACTTGAGCTGGGGTTGGACTAGAAGACCTCCAAGGGTCCCTTTCAACTCTTACTCTATTATTATGGAAAAGGGAGAAGTAGGAACGACATGCCCCCATTCACTGGAGATCTGCTCCTAGGTCTACCTAGTTGAAGAATTGGAAGTCTATAAAGAAGTCCCAAATGTGCTTTTTTTTTCACGAGGCAACTGGACTTCCTTGTTTTTCTTTGACGACGTTTCGCTTCTCATCCAAGAAGCTTCTTCAGCTCTGAATATAAAGCCTCCCATTCCCCACCATCCAGTCAGAGCTGAAGAAGCTTCTTGGATGATAAGCGAAGCATCTTCAAAGAAAAACACGAAAGTCCAGTTGCCTCGTGAAAAAGCATCTGTGGAATAACTGTGACCTGGATGACTGAGAATCTCCATAGACCTCTAATAAAAAAAGTATTCCTTTAGCTAAAGTCCCTTTGAAAGGCCTAATCAATACTTCTAGAATGATGTGACTTTTTGGCAGTTGCCTTTACCTTCATGCACTGTGAAAATCCATCACATCCTCATGGATATGCCAAAAAACATACTTGGCAGATCAAACATAAAGAGCCTGACTGTAATCCATAAAAGCATCCCATTAGTCTGCTGGCAGAATAAGGCTCTGGATGGGGGGGTCCCCAGTGTTCTCCAAAATTTCTCCAGTGTTGTATGAGGCTTGGTAAGCATGAAGATTCAAAGCCTGCTTTCCTTTTACACACACACACAAAAAAGAATCAGTCTTGGTTGGAACACTGTAAACACACAATAAAATGTTGGTATAGACACAGAGCTATCATGAGGTTTATTTACTGTTTGGCATCCAATTTATATTGTGTAAAGGAGCACCTGTAATTATCTTAGAAACATACTGTGTCTTTTATGAAAGTTTCCTGTTACCTATTAGGTCATGGGGTACAGTCAGGAATATTTTCATTTCAAACTCGCCTTAAGATGAACGTGAGCTGTGTCAGAACAACAGGTTGTGTGAAGAAATTTCTCCCAAGTGTTTGTTTATGTATCTCTTAATGTCTATATCATTGTGTTTCCACAACAAAAGAAGGTTGCTGTGTGACATAAGAAGTAGGTTTAAAACTTGAGACAGAATTATTAAAAAAAAAATCAGAGAATCCCTGCCTTAGTGTCAGAAATAGCCCTGAGTTCCTTTAAAAGTTGTTATTAATTTTTTAATGTGTTTAAAAGGGAAAATACATAAATTACCTGAAAAGAAATCTTGCTAGTAATGTTTAAATTAGAATAGAATAGAATAGAATAACAGCAGAATTAGAATAAAATAGAACAGAACAGAACAAGAGTAGAATAGAATAGAATAGAATAGAATAGAATAGAATCAGAATCAGAATCAGAATCAGAATAGGAATAGAATAGGAATAGAACAGAACAAAAGCAGAATAGAATAGAATAGAAAATAGAATAGAATAACAGCAGAAATAGAATAGAATAGAACAGAACAGAACAAGTGAATAGAATAAGAGCAGAATTAGAATAGAACAGAACAATAATAGAATAGAATAGAAAATAGAATAGAATAGGAGCAGAATTAGATTAGAATAGAACAGAACAAGAATAGAATAGAATAGAAAATAGAATAGAATAGAATAAGAGCAGAATTAGAATAGAATAGAACAGAACAGAACAAGAGTAGAGTAGAATAGAATAGAATAAGAGCAGAATTAGAATAGAATAGAACAGAACAGAATAGAATAGAACAGAATAGAATAAGAACAGAATTAGAATAGAATAGAACAGAACAGAATAAGAATGGATCTTGGAGATCTTCTATTCCAACCCTCTGCTCAACCAGGAGACCCTCTACATTTCAGATAAGTGGTTGTCCAGTCTCTTAAAAACCTAGTGATGAAGCACCCACAGCCTCTGAAGGCAAGCTCTTCCACTGGTTAATTGTTCTGAGTGTTAGGAAGTCTTAAATACTTCTAAAGTTCTTAAATACTATATTAAATAACAGTTTTTTGGTTGTGCAGAGAATTAGATTTGAAAGGCAAAATGGGATTAGGAGCATGTAGTATATTGCTTGTAGCCCCAATAATAAATGCCTGGAAGTAGCTTTTCCTTTTCCTGGGTTCATAGGGCTCCTTTCTGCAATGGACATGCAACTCCAAGAGAAAATACGTTTGATCTGAGAACTCTCAACAGATCATAGAGAACTAATGATATTTTGCCCTTCAAATCCAGACCTTGGCATGCCCCTATTAGCAGCTTTTATCCAAGTTCTGCCTTGTCTTTAAAGCATGAGATCACTCCAAAAAAAAAATCACGTAAATCTTGAATTGAAAAAAGGGAAGAGAAAAAAAAAAAGATGGTACTGACTAAAGGACAAGGCTTTGGATCCTGCTGGCTGAGGAATTCTGGGAGTTGAAGTCTACACAGTTTGCAGTTGCCAAAGTTGGGAAACACTGCAGTCATGTGAGTGCAAACGTTTTGGGTATCAAATGTTGCGGAGCAATTTTTTAAGAAGACAAGAGAGAAGGGACTATAAAATTACGATGGTTACTGTGAAAAAGTACGGTTCTTACATACTTTCATAATGGGAAGCCTGTGGAATAAAGCCTCATCTGGTAATTGAGCAGAGAAACTGCTCCCTGAATTATACTGGATTATGCCCAAAGAATCCATTTTAGTGTTGGTTTCCAGAGCCTCGCTAAAAAGCTGGGTCCATTGTGTCTTGCACACCCTTTGCCAGAAGCCATCAAAGATGTTTACACTTTGCTGTTTATTAACATGCTTTCTTGAAAAGCCACCCCAGAGTGCTAGATTGCTGTGACACGTAATACTTTTTAAATATTAAAATTACCATAAGTGCTAAACTGATTAGCAGCATATTCAGGTAGTGTAATTAGCAGAAGTATTCCGAACATGTCTTTATCTGTAATTGGCAAAAAGGGCTTTTTTCCCCTCCCTGCTTGCTCTGCTGCTTAGATGCTACGTATTATTTTACATAGGAAGTAAATAAAATCTAGATGTCATATTGCAGAATTTTTTGACGGTGAAGATACAATATTTGCCATTAACAGTGACAAATATGATGGACACATTTCTAGAAATACAAAGAGATGCATCATTGTTTTAAAAAAATCCTTAAATGATAGGCTAGTAGCTAAAACAAGGTAACGCTTTCAGAGTGATTGTTCCAATTGTTATGATTTTCTTGATTAATCGTAGTCATTTGTTTTGAAGTATCTGTTGTAGACATGTGTTATTTAAGAAACGGGGGGGGGGAATTTCTGCTGTTCTGGAGCTAATATGATTTTTCTGTGATATTAATATGAAGTTATCTTTATAATTGATAATTAGTTATTGCTGGTTTTGTTTTATGTTTATTGGTCTTTTTTTTTTTTCATGCCAACCTTGTTGGGAACCCATCCAGGCAAGTAGTAGGCTGTATTAATGGGATAAAGTAAAAATAAATACTCATTGATTTGAATTGCCTCCAGAAATCAGTGGTGATCCGATAGGTGTAGATGGTATATAAAGATACAGTCTGCGTGCAAAGCATGTGACATTATTTTGTTCCCTTCATTCAGTAAAATGTCATTAGCACTCATTAACTAATAAGGCTTGCTTTTCTGCAAGTTGCAATTTATTTGGATTTTTTTATTCGTTGATCTTGGCTTTAGCGTTTTATGAATGTTAATATACAAAGATTCTCAAGAGAGGTTTTAAAAATTTTCCACCAGGTAAAGGATATGTCAGTTTATCAACTTCAACAAATACAACACTCTATGTCAATGACGGGGAAAGTCTGGGCTTGGTAGTAACGTATGAAGCGTATCCTAAACCAGAAGAAGAAACGTGGCTATACATGAATGTAACACTGCAGAATTCATCTGATCATTATGTGAGAGTCACAAACATAGACAAAAACAGGTAAGGAAAACAGATGGATTGTTTGCCTACTATAGAAGTATGGACGCTTAAAGTGTCAAATTTAGCAGAAATGGCTAAAATTTCTGCTTATCTGAAGGATCATTCACAAGAAAGATACATTTCGGTCTGGAGAAGATGGATAGATTATATTCAGAATAAATATGGGACTAAAAAGTTCCATTTAGTTTATGAGTAAATTTTAGAGTATTATTATTATTATGAGTTTATTATAGTAGAATTTTTATTAGTTTTATTATTATTTTTAGTATTAGTATTGTTTAACAATTTGGATATTGTATTGTTTAATAATTAGGATATTAACTTGTTTATATTATTATGTTTCCTGGAGTTAAAGCGCATTATGGACCTGGTTATTTATATAGTTGGTTAATGTTAGTTAGAGTATGATTATTATATTTGTAACTCTGTACTCAGCTCTGGGAAGTGGGGGAGGGAGGGGGGGTTTTGGGTGGGTGGGTTTTGGGATGTATATTGTAACTTTTATAAAACTTTTCAATAAAAAAAAAAACAGGTAATGCAAGATGTGGAACCAAAGTATCAATGTACGGAGATCGTTCTGTTAATTTTCTGTAGGAATATATTATACCAGTGGTTCTCAACCTTTTTAATGCCGTGACCCCCCCCCAAACCGGTCGTAAGTCGAGGACTACTCAACCGGTCGTAAGTCGAGGACTACTCAACTGGTGCAGCACCGTTTGCAGAATGGGACTTTTGGCGGGCTCAGCAGGGCAGAGACAGCCTGGACAATTCCTATTGGCTTTTGAAAGCCAATAGAATTAGACTCTATTCAAGAGAGTCTATTCTATTGGCTTTCAAAAGCCAATAGAATAAAAGGGAGTAGCACAGCTAAGGAAAAGGGGGGAAAAATGGCACTGCGTTGTTTGGCGACCCCCGTGAAATGGTCGTTCGACCCCGAATGGGGTCCCGACCCACAGGTTGAGAACCACTGCATTATACAGACTTGGCTTGGAAAAGATCTTCCTGATTTTTTTGGAATCTAATGGTTGCCAACTTCCCCTTCTCTAACTGAATCTCTTTTTCCTAGGATACACTATGTTGGCCACTCTTCCTTTTTACCTGAAAACTATGAGACATCAGATGTTTAAAAAGAGGCTTAGCCAGGATGTTATCTTGCTATTTTATTTTCTCCATTTTTTTTTAAAAAAAAAACTCCTGTAGCAGTTTGGAGGCAGAATGAGACAATTCGCCACAGCCAACTTGCTGTGGTACAACTCGTCATGCCCAACTCACTGTGAGAACGTCTTACTGCAGGACAATTCAACAAATGCGAAAGTTAAATTAATTTCAACGGAACCATGGCCCAGTAATAATAAAATAAAGAAAGTCAATCCGGAAATAGCAATAGCACTTAGCACTGCTTCACAGTGCTTTACAGCTTGTTTACAGAGTCAGCCTCTTGCCCCCAACAAACTGGGCCCTCATTTTACCCAACTCAGAAAGATGGAAGGCTGAGTCAACCTTGAGCTGGTGAGACTCGAACTGCTGGCAGCCAGCAGTCAGCAGAAGTAGCCTGCGTTCTGTTTTTAAGGCCTCCGCCAGTAAATTAATAATCACTTCTGCTATATCTTCTTGTTTATCTTCAGGTAGATGTTGGAATCTTAGATAGTGTACAACTTTCTCCACTTCCAAAGCTGCAACTGCTCCTTCTAAGTGTTTCTCAACCTTGACAATTTTAAGGCATGTGGACTTCAACTCCCAGAATTCCACAGCCAGCATTGCTGGCTGTGGAATTCTGGGAGTTGAAGTCCACATGCCTTAAAATTGTCAAGGTTGAAGCTTTGGTTTACTAGTTCTAATTTTTCATTTTCTTGCATTAATAATGCCTGCATTAAAAAGTTTACTGAATGAAATGATTAATACATCATTGAATTATCCCGCCACAAGTTGTTCCATGGCAAGTTGGCTGTGGCGAATTGTCCAGACACTTTGGAGGAAATTAAAACAGTGGGCAGTAGCTAAGTATCTAACTCTAGGTTATTTTCACTTTGTTCCGTGTTTACAAGGAGCGTTGGATCTAAATGGTTTTTTTGGGGGGGGGGGGCTACAGATGGATCATTTTGGTAAACTTGGTGCTCAGCCACTGTTGCCAGTCGCTTATGTGAGATAAAATTAACTGTGATATTGCCACTTCTGCCTGTAGATTGGGTCCTTTTTTTCCAAATAGCAAATAATAGTGCTTAGTTTTGCTAAGTAATAAGAAATAGCTTCAAAATTTGTTTCCATGTTATCCTTCATTCAAGGATAGTCAGTGTCCGGAGAAGCTTTTTTGCTAGTCAGGTAAAGCCTATTCTGCATGTGGGGAGGGGGGGGAGCAGCAACCAGAGATTCAGTGACATACACAGATATGAACCTGCGGTGTTGTGTGTTCAGAAAAATGTTGCACATCCCCTCAACCTTTGTTCCAGAGCAGTGATTCTCAACCTTTCTAATGCCGTGACCCCATAATACAGTTCCCCACGTTGTGGTGACCCCCAAGTGGTTGTGGCCACCAATAAGAGGGATTAGGACAGCTAGGGAAAAGGAAAAAAATGGCGGACAGCATGGTTTGACGACCCCCGTGAAATGGTCATTCGACCCCAAATGGGGTCCCGACCCACAGGTTGAGAACCACTGTTCCAGAGGAAACAATCTGAGCTCAATTCTGCAGCATTTATTTTGAAACGATGGGGCAAGCTCGTTTTTATTGGTGGCAACTTGTCTGGCTTTCGCTGTGGGAATTTGTAAAACAAATTGAGAAATACAGTGGTACAATTTGATTGTATTCAGAGTACTCAGCGTGAATTGGTTCTGGGAGATGCAATGAGTACCAAAAACAATGAGTACCAAACAAATTTTTCACATAAGGAGTAATGTAGTGCAGGGGTCTTCAAACTTGGCAACTTTAAGACTTGTGGACTTCAACTCAAAAATTTGTCCCATTACTCATCGTTTGTTTGGTACTCAATGCACAAGCTAGATCTTGTCATTGTTGGCTGCCTTGTGACTCACTACATCAGGGGTCTTCAAACTTGGTAACTTTAAGACTTGTGGACTTCAACTCCCAGAATTGATGTTAGAACAATTAACAGATAGACAGTTAGAACAATTAACCAGTGGAACAACCTGCCTCCAGAAGCGGTGAATGCTCCAACACTGGAAGTTTTTAAGAAGAAACTGGACAGCCATTTGTCTGAAATGGTATAGGGTTACCTGCCTGAGCAGGGGGTTGGACTTGATGACCTCTAAGGTCCCTTCCAATTTTATTGTTATTATTAATTCCTCAGCCAGCCCTGGCTGGCTGAGGAATTCTTGGAGTTGAAGTCCACAACTTTTAAAGTTGCCAAGTTTGAAGACCTCCCCTGCACTACATTATTCCTTATGTGAAAAAAATTGTTTGGTACTCAATTGTTTTTGGTACTCATTGCACCTCCTAGAACCAATTCACGCTGAGTACTCTGAATACAACTTGAACTCACATAGTTTCTTAAATCTTAATTTTCTCTAAAATGTGTACATGAACTATGCAAATTGTAAAAGCACATTGACATTTTAAAATATATAAATATATTAATTTAGGAGCTTTCAGACAGCTTCCCATGTAGCAAACCGAAATGATTCAAAGGGACTAAATAGAAAAAAAAATCACAGTTCTCACTGCACCTGATTGTATAAACCCATGCATAAGCTGTCTGTTTAATTTTAGCAGTATATTATAAAATGCACCTAGACTGCCTGCCATGAGGTGAATAATGAAGGTTGCTGTTTTATTCCTCCTGTAGCTATTCCAGTGAGCTTCACCTTACGCGGCTAAAGGAAATAGAAGGAGGTCTTTATACATTTTTTGTCTCCAACTCAGACGCCAATTCCTCTATAACATTTAATGTCTATGTAAACAGTAAGTAACAGCAGTCTATGACATTTCTTTGCCACCAAGTTTTGCCTTTAACTAAAGCAAATTGCACATGGAGATTCTATTGATTTGATGGCTGAAATGAAGGGCGTTCTATAAAGTAAGATTTGCAAATTAGGAGATAGCCCCTTAGCAATAGCACTTAGACTTTATATACCGCTTCGCAGTGCTTCACAGCTCTCTGTAAGTGGTTTACAGAGTCAGCTTCTTGCCCCCAACAATCTGGGTCCTCAGTTTACTGACCTCGGAAGGATGAAAGTCTGAGTCAGCCTTCGAGCCGGTGAGAATTGAACTGCTGGCAGTCGGCAGAATTAGCTTGCAATACTGCATTTTGTCCATTGCGCCTCCACGGCTCCTTTGAATGCAAATGGCTTCAATATCATTCAGATGGATATGACTCTCAATTCCTTTCTTACAGCCCTTGAAATATCCCAATATTATGCCACTGAAACCTTACAGCAAATTGGTGATTCTTGGTGGTACAACTTTGTGTCCCTGTTCCTAATGAAGCACTAAAATAGCTGCCTACTTCTAATGCTGTGTATTGAATTTCATCAAACAATTGGTTTTCCAATCATGTTTTACTTTCTTAGCGTGAACCACATCTTAATGTTATATGTTAGTAGATAACATTACATGTTAATTGTATTATTTCAAAATGAAGTTTGCCAAAATCTCTCTCCTCTTTTGCCATCGTTAGTCCTGCTTTAAGTTGTGACAATCTCTTGTTTCAACAAGGTGACTTGCAATTTAAATTATTTCAGAAGTACCCCACCTCAAAAAAAAATCAGGAGTAAATAACAAAGCACCCTTATATGCCGGCGTACAAGCCGACCCGGCGTATAAGACGACCCCTGTCTTTGTCGCCGAGCCGCATTCCTAGAACGTCGTCTTATACGCCGGAAACTACCAGTATTTCCAGCGTATAAGACGACTCGGCGTATAAGACGACCCCGTCTTTGGTGCCGATTTTAGCGCTTGCGGAAGTCGCCTTATACGCCGGCATATACGGTATATACCTTAGTTTGCAAATACTAAAGTCAGTCTTAAATCTGCATTTGCCAAGTTGAATTAAAAGTTTGAATTAAATTTGAACTAAATGTTTAAATTTGATATGCAAAAACATTTTTCTATGTAAGATGTGTTGTATTGTATGTAAGGTATATTGCATGTCCCCACTTTGTAAGACAAGATTGTAAGAGTTTAAGCCATTAAGTTACTATTGAGTAGCTATATTACTTATTTAGAATTCCAGTAAGAAAAAAAATCCTACATTTACAGAACTACTATTTAGAATTAACCAGAATACAGTCTCATGGTTTTCTCTACATAATTTTAAAATGTATTTTAATTTTAATATTTCTTCAACCTCTCTCCCCTACTGTTATTTTTCAGCTGACTGTGTTAGGTTGGATATTTTGGCCTTAAGCTGTAAACTTTAACTAACATGTCAATCATATTATTTAGTTTCTGAAAAGATACTGCATGCTCAGTGCCAGTGTGTCTGACATAAAATATGTGATAAGTTGGAATTACTGTATAATTACAGTGTTTTCAGAATACTTTCTCTGATTGTCAATTACAAGGGTTTTATTTTCAATTAAGGAAAAATTGCTTGGTCTATTTAAACATGGAAGAATTGCATACCCGTATATGTCTTTAAAATTTAAAATATGTCCAGCTTCAAATATTTTATCATTCATTACTGCCTTTATATTTCCAGTTTCTTGCAAGAGTTAGGTTTATCTGTTTATTTCATATGGCACACATTTGTCAGGGAAAGCTACACTTTACAGCAGGGGTCCCCAATCCCCAGTCCAGGTCCAGTACCAGGTCATGGCATGCCATAAAAAAGTCCACACAAAGAAGGACAACCCCATCCACAGGATGCAGGCAGCACACAAAACCACGCCCCCTTCGGTCCATGGAAAAACCTTTCTCCACATAACCGGTCCCTGGTGCCCCAAAGATTGAGGACCTCTGATTTACAGAGTAGTCCTGACAGCGTAATTGCTAGTTCGTTCAGTTTCGCACCTCCTCTTTTCATAGCTAGCCTTTCTCCCAGAGTGGTACCCATTTATCTACTCGCAATAATGCTTTTGAACTGCTGGGTGTGCAGAGTAGGAACTAGAGACGAATGACGGGAGCTCATCCCTTCCTGCAGTGTTACGTACTCGAACGACCAGAGTGTCCTCCATTTAGGCCATTTTTACTCAGCAGCATCCTGAAGCTGCGGCGGCACTGCGTTTCCTTCCAAAACTAGATTATTTTTGTTTTAAGATTATTTTTGTTTTAAGACACAGCATCCCTGAGAGGCAGGCTTTAACTAGGAGAGACTCACTGACACTTAACAATGAGTGTCTTGTACGAGCAATGGAAATGCTTCTAACCTGCAATTTCCTAGAATTCTTTGTTTCTCTGTTGACATCTTCATCTGTATTGTAGCCAAAGGAATGTGATACAACCTGATCCAGACAGTATAAACAGAAGCCCCAAACCCTCATCCTGGGAGCTACTTTGCAAGGATGGGCTGTATACACTCCATTGTCTTTAATTGCCCCTATTATGTAGAGAGAAAAAACCTGCTAATAGCTATATATTGCTGACGGCTTCAACTACAGCAGATTAATTATTGAATGTTTCATTAAGCTGTTTTGCATACTCCAATTCCTCTTATCAATAATTTGCCATTAAATGCTTTCAATTTCTAATTTCATTAGTTTTATTAAACGCTGCTGAGACAGATTCCAAGCATGGTTAAATGGAGGTTTAAAAAAGTTGCTTCAGCATTTCTCTGTCTTAGGAGTTGCACGTTTAGTGTCACTGAGTTGATTTGCATTCAGTTTACTATCGAATTCTCTCTTTTTTTCCTTGCTAATTAGTAGAACAAATAAATATGGAGGTAGTATGTGTTTTATCATCATTGCCTACTGGAGGGAATTTGTTCCCAGTGTAAGATATGAATAGAGAGCCAACTATATATTACACCAGTTTGACCGTGAATAGAGTCACTCCACCCCAACAAGAACCATCAAAATAATTCTGGGTTAGAGAAAAAGAACTTCTAGCCTTTGATTATGGAATTCCCCTCTTTGCTTATCTATTTTCAAAGATAAAGATGCCCATTAATGTTTGATGAAAAGGCTAATGGTTCCAACGCGATTTCAGTTTGCAATATTGATCCAGAGGAATGAAATGATATTGAACGTGGCGCTAAACAAAATTCCCATCCACCTTATTGTGAAATGTTCAGGCAGCTGGGCTATTGCATACAGAGCCAATCTCTTTCCAGCATATGATGACTTGGCCCACAGTTACAGAAACATCCAACAAGCTCTCTTTGGTCTATTCCTGATGCCCACTACTTTATGTTGCAATGTAGGAATGGTTGATCATGATCAAGTAGCTGTCAGTTAAAAAATGGGCTTTTAAAACCTGTTCTGTTGTCTGAGGCAGAGTTTTCAAAGTTAGTGCAAAGCATATATGCTGGATGTGCCATTTTCTAGACTTATTTCTCAATGTTTGGAACTGCGGGGAAATAATAATGAGGCTGTAAGGACCCACCCCACTTTGCATCTTAAGAAGACAGAACTCTTGGAATAATTCTTCCAACAGGAATCCTTTATTAAGAGAAAATGGTTGCAGGCATGCTAGACAGGACTTGGGGTTCAAGCTCTCCCATTCAAGGTTTTAAGGGGTTCCCCAGTAGTCCCACCCAATCAACCCCCCTTCCAGTGATAGTTTCAAGTATCACAATTCCACCCCCTTTCTTCTTTCTTCCGTCTGGATGGAGACTTCAGGTAACTACATGAAAGGCAAATACCCTGCTTTGTTATGATAAGGTCCTCTAGTGCTAACGCTTTGATGTTACAATAAACACACATTCAGCATTCAGCTCTTTGAAGTGTACTGAAGGAAGTGAGGGCCATAAAGCCCCTTTGTTCTCCCCCTTCTCTCCCTCTTATGGCAGAATCCAAAGAAGGCAGAATTGGGAGTTTCTATATTTGATAATTAAAGATGAAATATGATTGGATTCTGACAGAGGCATAGGAATGAGATTGCGGAATCTAGACTGGCTCAGGATTTAATAGCAAATTGTGTATTTACTACTGAAAAAGGTTTGATCCAATATTTAAGAGGTAGACCAGTGGTTCTCAACCTTTTTAATATCGCGACCCCCAGCCGGTCGTAAGTCGAGGACTACTCAACCGATCGTAAGTCGAGGACTACTCAACTGGTGCAGCACCGTTTGCAGAATGGGACTTTTGGTGGGCTCAGCAGGACAGAGACAGCCTGGACAATTCCTATTGGCTTTTGAAAGCCAATAGAATTAGACTCTATTCAAGAGAGCCTATTCTATTGGCTTTCAAAAGCCAATAAAATAAGAGGGAGTAGCACAGCTAAGGAAAAGGGGAAAAAAATGGCGGACTGCGTTGTTTGGCGACCCCCGTGAAATGGTCGTTCGACCCCAAATGGGGTCGCGACCCACAGGTTGAGAACCACTGAGGTAGACAGCTAAGGAGGGATTCAGCTTATCCTGAATTTAGGCAGAAATGCTTGCAATATTTGCATTGTTATAGTCCAGAATTATTATACTATAAATTTTGATGGGATGTCTCTGTCAGAATTCTGCATGTTGTCAGTTCCATGTCAGTTGCTTTAGGTAATAACAAAGAGTGTGTATCTATGATACAGGCCTGGAGCCCAGAATAGGACTTGCCTGAAATACTTAAAATGCAAGAAAAGATTGAACAGAATATCCCAAAGGTGATTTTTCAAAAAACAACTGGACTTTCTTGGGGGGAGGGGAGGTTCGTTGAAAACATTTAGCTTCTTAGATGAAAGCAAAATATTTTCCAGGGAAAAACAATCAAGGAAGTCCAGTTGCTTTTTTTGGAAAAGCACTTTTGGGACAACCTGGATCTGGATGATTGAGACTCTCCACAGACATTGATCATCCCATCATGACAGCAATAGAATCAGTT